TAAAATATATTTCACGGCAAAAAAAATTTTCTTTCATTGTTAGGCCGAGAACTTTTCAGACTGCCTACGTATAATGATAAATATATTGATAATTTAATAACAATTATAGAACCTCCTTCTCTCCATCCCTCGGTCTCTATCAATGATACGCGTATTGCGCGTACGCACAAAGCATCTCGAGTGTATCTGTGTCGCGATATCTCCGTCTGTAGCTTTCACTCTCGAGCGCACTTAATTGCCGTCTTTGTTGCGCGAAGAAAGCCCTACTCCGCCCAGAGATACGTGCGACGTACGTATGCACGGTGTGGTAGAGCGCTCGAAGGACCAGCGAAACGTAATTAAAACGCGCGGCAAGCTTGCGAAGGACGCGAACGGTTAAACATGCCGACAGAAAGCGCGTTCGCCGCCGATACGTTTCCATTAACTACCGCAGGCTTTCTCTCCTCTCTCTCCCCCTCTCACTCTCTCTCTCTCTCTCTCTCTCTCTCTCTCTCTCTCTTTCCCTCTCTCGGCAAAGCGTCTCCGCAACGCGAATGTAATATTCCGTCGGCTAATACGTGCGCCCCGCTGGCAAATAGACGCAGATTGCGCGCGCCCGGTTGTTCCACTTTCGCGACCCTTCCCTCTCGAGCCCGGATTAACTGTGTGTGTGTGTGTGTGTGTGTGTCTCTCTCTCTCTGTCTCTCTCTCTCTGTCTCTCTCCCTCTCTTTCTCTCTCTCTCTCTCTCTCTCTCTCTCTCTCTTCAAGGCGGTGCCAAAGTTTTAATTGGATACGAGCCGGCGCGGCCAGGGTGGCGGTCATAAAATTAGGACGGGATTTGCGCGTCCGATTTATTCCGTCGGTGGCGGCGCGTTGCCGCGTCGTCGGACGTCACGTTTTCCGCAGAGAGACGAACCGGCGTTCCTACGGGACTCATCTCCGCCGCGACGTCGGATAAGTCGGATTACCGGCGGGTGTACACGCGGATTCCCGGGGAGATCCCCCGTGCTCCGGGAAGCCGCTCGCGAGACGGCCGCTCTCGCGGTCAGCCGCGCGGTTTAGCCGGGCGTAATGGCGAGAATGTTTCCGGGAATGCGCGGCGACCAATTCAAATAGGTCGGCGGCGGCGGTGGCGGCGGAACACGCGCGGCTCCAAATCGAATTTGCACGTGATCCGGTACGCCGGAGGAACAACGGACGGCACGCGGGAGACCACTCGAGTACGAAAGGACGACCGATTTGCGGGAGCTCATCTATTTGCTTCCTCCTTTCTTCCCGGTCGTGGAAACATGCTCACCCCCTCTCCTTCCTCTCTCTCTCTCTCTCTCTCTCTCTCTCTCTCTCTCTCAAGTGCTCGGGAATGGAGAGCGCCGCCGAAAAGAGCCCACCGAGTGCTCTTTTCCTCTCCCTCTTCCTTCTCCATCTCCTCTTCCACTCTGTTCCTTTTTCTAACTCGATCGAGAGTAATCCACCTTGAAACTATAGCTACCGCAGCGACGTGATTTACCGTAATGCGAATAATGACATTGATCCTTTCTCTCCTGATCCCCTCTGTTGCGTCGCGCGAACGTAACGCATTGGTTTCCGTCATTTCCGGACTGAGATTAGATTAGCGGCAGGCTCCGGGAAAGCATGCAATGATACTAAAGCGGAAAAGAATAAGATTAAACTCTAATCTCTCCGCTAGATACATTACTCCAGGTTGGAAGAGCACGCTGCTAATTAGTTTCGGCAACGTAGCGTATAAATAGCGTAGGTATCGTTGCGATTTATCACCCGTCGCATTTTATCTCTGTCGTTCGATAATTCTCCCGAAAATCTCCGAGATAAATATGCGTATCTCCAAGTTAACCCGCGCTTCACCGAGTCCATCAATTTTCCGGAGCGGAGCTCGTTTGGAAAACACGCGTTCGGGAATCCGACTAAGGTTATTAGCGCTGCAGTTTGCTGCTGAAACCTCGCTCACATCTCGCGCAGGAAGAAGGAGCGAGCGAGCGAGAGAGAGAGAGAGAGAGAGAGAGAGAGAGAATGAGAGAGAAACGAATTAAATCCCGGATTACGTTTGTTTTCGGTGCTTAAATAAATGCGATCGCAATTAAGTGCGACGCTTTGATTTCCATCCCGCCTGTGTGTGTATCTCCTCCTCTAATGGAACGATCGTCCCGCGCGAGATTTCAAACGTCCTCTCGTATAATTTACGCGCTTGTTAAATATTGCGTACACACTGTGTTAATGAAGTAAATATATATCGACTCGCGTGTTGTCGAGACTCCTGTCATAATAAATCCATCAATTATGCGCAGTACACACGCGCGTGTATATATAACTAACAAATTATATTTCTCAATTAATTTCGCGTTTGCGCCGCTCGAATGGAATTTTCGTTTGGTCGCCGAAGCGTTTGAAGCGCGCGCGCGCGATACGGAGAACTTGCGAGAAACGAAAGCGTGATCGATCGAGAGCGACCAAGTTTGCATCGTGGAGAAAAATCGGAAGTTGATGTGCGGCGCCAGACGCCGCAAGATTCGTACGCGCGCGAAGAGGAACGCGCCTCGCCGCGCGAGCTGAATTTCTGCGCCGAGAGATTTTTCGGAGGCAAACTATTAAAATCAGCATGAATATTGGCGGCCCGCTTCGCCGTGATATATTCGCGCGTCGTCAGGCGAGATCAAACGGACGCGTTCCTCTTTCATGCAATTTTATTACCATATGACATAAAGCAACGTCGTGGTATTGCGGGGACGGCAAAGCCCTTCCGGTCACTGATGGCTCACACTTGCGCGACCGCCGGCCCCTTTATGAAACATTGATTGTGCGCCAAATATTAACGCGCGAGATTGTTTTTCAGCTGCGAACGGAGAAAAGGGATATATCGCCGTGTACCGCGTACATGTGTGTGTGTGTGTGTGTGTGTGTGTGTGTGTGTGTGTGTGTGTGTGTGTGTGTGTGTGTGTGTGTGTGTGTGTGTGTGTGTGTGGTGTGTGTGTGTGTGTGTGTGTGTGTGTGTGTGTGTGTGTGTGTGTGTGTGTGTGTGTGTGTGTGTGTGTGTGTGTGTGTGTGTGTGTGTGTGTGTGTGTGTGTGTGTGTGTGTGTGTGTGTGCGCGCGCGCGCGCGCGCGCGCGCGCGAAACGCATCTATTACGGGGAACATCCGGTATTAAAAAAAAAAAAGAAAAAAAATCCAACCGCGCTTTCACGAACGCGCGCACGTTTCGGCACTGCAACCACCGTGCCGTGCGTTGCTCATTTTTCTTCGACGGGCCCCGCTTTCGATCGCGAACGCGCGAGACACTCTCCTCGGCGTTGCCATTTTCTTCCCGTCCGCGGTAAGGCTTAGCAAAAGTTTCGAAACTCTGGACTAATTATTCAGTTACTTGAAAGCTTCGTTCCACTCTGCCCCATCCCTCACTTTAGTCCTGGATTAAAAGTTACCGCCCATTTCCGAGGCTCGTCCTAAAATCTTATAACTTTCGACGATAGATAAAATTCATTAAGTCCGATAGTCAAGAGTTCGACTTATAATCGTCTTTCTCTCTCTCTCTCTCTCTCTCTCTCTCTCTCTGTGTGTTAATTTTTCACGCACCGACCGATTATCGTTACTTTCGCGCGCGATGAAATCTTCTTGGACCACTTAGAGTACACGTCGCGGTTCTCGACGATTTTCTATACGTACAAAACTGTTAATAACGGGATTGAAAGTCGAAAATCGCACGAGACTCGATTTATTTATCCGAAAATCAAATTGGGGATTTGTTTCCACCAGATGTACGGTCTCGTCAGCCGCGCGATATCTTTAACGCTCTCGCTCTCGCTGTTCGGCGTTTTCGACGCTGTTAAAAAATGAAAATAAACGAAATTCCTCTGGACCCGCTCTGAAGCCGGGTAAGCCGCTCGAACGCGCGCGCACTGATTAGTTCACGATTTCGTTGCGAATTTGGAGCACTTACGCCGCTGAACTTTCTGTTAACACAAACACGTGGAATTGATCCGGCGCTCATTACGCAACCTGCTCGTCCGCGAGTAGCGGATAATTTCATAAATATTCCGCATTATCGCGCCGCAACGCAGCGCTGTTGATGACGCGCTCTCTCGCGAAATTCAGGCGGATCGCGGAGGAATTTTAATATAATTACTCGTGTAACTACGTACGCTCTCCCGGGCGTACGTGTAACGTATACGTAACGCGCGTTCGTAAATCAGAGTTGTTACACAGACACAATTTCACGACTCCCCGAATGCCCCGCTTTCACCGACTAATAAAGTCCCCCTATTCCTGCCCACGAGAGCATCAAGAGTGAAGCTACAAATTTGTGAAAAGGAAGACCATGATGTCACGTGAAAATGAGAAAGAGGGGACAAAATATAAATGTGGGGAAACGAGTGAGACGGAAGATATTAGAGGTGGAAAAATGTCCCAATTTTAATAAACTTTTCTCTCGGCCGCTTCACGAATCAAGGAATAAAAGGGGGTCAAGAATGCGACGACCAAGTATGTGTGTGTGTGTGTGTGTGTATGTGTGTGTGTGTGTGTGTGTGTGTGCGTGCAAATGAGAGAAGGAGAGAGAGAGAGATTCGTTATACGGCTCTCGTATCATGCTTCTCGCGTATAAACGTATCTATAAACGCTGATTCGCCCGTATCGTTGAAAGGTCGACGAATACCATCGAATAAACGAGTCTCTATTCTCCTCCTCCCTCTCTCTCTCTCTCTCTCTCTCTCTCTCTCTCTCACTCCCTCTCTCTCTCTCTCTCTCAGCTTCTCTCTTTTTCCGCGCGACTTCTTCCGGGCCGTTGCTTTCAATCTTCCCGGGCTGCTCCCGCACGGTTTTCCGCTGCTCGCAGAACGAGCCTGCAAATGTTTCTGGAAACTCGCGCGGCGAATGAATTCGTTCGGAGGACGCGCGGTGCACCGCCGCTCATAACTCACGATTATACGATACATTGATGAATGCGCTCGCGTTCTTCGCGTCGCGGCACGGCGCGATGACGAAGCACCCGATACTATTATTTATTCTGTTGCAGGTGCGGTGACATTTATCATCGGTTTTACGGGATGCGTCGGCGCGCTGCGGGAAAACACGTGCCTCCTCGCCGCGGTAAGCAAGTTCAGTAAAGTCCCCTCGGGGATTATTTTAATTGCCCGACATTTCTCTCTCTCTCTCTCTCTCTCTCTCTCTCTCTCTCTCTCTCCCTCTCTCTTTCTCTGTCTCCCTGCTTTTCTTCTCGGAACTTCGAACTTTGATCGAGCTTCCGGTTCGTTAGGCGATATCTATGGTCCGTCGCTGACGCGATCGAACGAAAACAAAAACGATCCCGGTCCTTTGAGAAACGCGATGTTCGAAGACACTTCAAACTGGAGGCTCCGCTTTCTTTGACAGCGTAAATTCTTGAAATGGGAGTCTTCGAAAGGGACTGAATCACGCAGCGCGTGATTGAGAGGACGGTTCCGACGAGTAATAGCAACGGCACTGCTTTCGCAAGCTTCTCTCTCTCTCTCTCTCTCTCTCTCTCTCTCTCTCTCTCTCTCACTCACTCGCCCCTTCAGCCCGTCTCGCTAAGGTCTCACTAGGTAGTAATTAATTTCTCAGGCAATTTTAATAGAATCCCGTTTTGCGTGTTGCAGTACGCGATATTTCTGGCGCTTCTGTTGCTGATAGAGATGACTGCCGGTGTCCTGGGATTCATCTTCAAAGACTGGGTAAATATCGCGTCGCTTTCCGCGCGTGCTCCGCCCGTCCTATGATAACGTAGTTTCCCCGTAGGAACGGTAATGTATGATAATAATTACAGATAAAAAACGCACACGGATGTTTCAATTAGAAAAGAGAAAAAGAATAAACTACGAGACACAGACGCGTACGAAACGAGAAACACGAGGAAGGCACCGCGACCGGCGAGGGTCCGTATCTCATCAAGGTGCCCGCACGCGCGTATCAGCGATAAATTCGGAGCTAATAATGTTCGCGAAGTAACAAGCAGAGTTGGTCGCTGAAAGGTGTGACGGAGTCGCGGCAGCGAGATGTTTGACTTGCAATTTATCACCGACACTCACTCACGTGCGGACACCTGTTCGGGAGTTTCGTTGACCCCGCTGGTAACGGTTGTAACGGATCGCGTGTATATGCCAGAGAGCCTTTCTCATCTTTCCTCGGCGCTGATAACAGAGCTAAACTCGGCCGAAGGCAGCATCACACAAAATATCTTACATCCATAATGCAACGTCTCGCGTCGCGTCGCGCATAACGCGCGCGTTTAATTATTCGCGCGGGCGAGATCTTCGCGAGGAAGATGCGTGCAACTTCGCTAAAATGCAGCCGGCGGAGTTTCCAGACGACGTTTCCGGGACAAGTGTCTGCTCGCGCCACCCTTGGGACGACATCGCGACGTCCATCCATCCGTCCGTCCGTTCGTCCGTGGGTAATCGTTTCTGGTAACCGCGTTTCTGGTAATCCAGTGGCTGCGAGAAACGCGGCTAAATTATCAAAGCGAATAAGCCGAATGCATTATACAATATTCGCCGGTGCATATTTCACAATCTCATTTCCCCGAGAATACGCACTCCGAGGAAGACGAACGGTACGTGCAAAAGCGCGGTCTGGGCGCACGGCTGGGCGCGCCAAGTTTGCGTATAATTATGCAGCGAGTTCCTGGGTCACTAATTAATTCCATTAACCGTATCCTTTAAACATGACGAGAATTTTCTTCCGCGGAAAATTTGGACGGCCAACAAACGCGCCATCGCGCCGCGACCCGTTAACGCTCCGCGCGAAAGCGCCGGAAAGTTGGACTCGCTCCCCCCCGCCCCCCCCGCCGCGAACGTTTACACCCGCAGCGCGCACCTGAAGCGCGCGCGCGCGTCAATTGCCGCGAAAGAGGGAGGAGACGCGCGGCGTCTCCTCTCTCGCGTTTCCTCCGCTGTCTTTCACTTTACGAGGCCCGGAATTGTCGGTCGTAATGAAACTTAGCGCGGATCGCGAGGCCTCTCGCCGTAATCATGTCCCGACCAGCCGGAATTTCGGCAACGAACCGCCCGGAATTAATTTCTTGTTAACCCGGAAATTGTAGGAATAGCTCTTAAGCGCGGAATCAAGAGACGAGCGCGCGCTCGTTTACGCGAATTAGCGTGATATCTTCTTTTGCAGATAAAATCGCAAGCTACGGGGGGCTTTCAGGCGTTCATCATCCACTACAGAGAGGATCCCGATCAGCAGAACCTTATCGACTGGATTCAAGAAGATTGGGTAAGTCGATTAGAATTCCACGGGCTGTTAAATGAAGTAGAAAATTCATTCGTTTCTTTGCGCCCTATCGACGCGCGGCGGAGGGGCGGCCGGCGGCAGGGGGGAAAAGTCGGACGAATTTCCCGGTCTAACGCAGCGAACTCGCGGGGTTGATTGTCCCGCTGCTTTATTTCTTACTCGTGAGAAAAACTCGCGGGGAAGAGAGAGCTCAAAGCTCGGGGACAAAACGGAACAACAGGTCAGCGCTTAATTGCGAGCGGCGATTGTTCCACTCGTTCGGGGACTACGAGAGAAATCAGCGCAGAATTAAATTCGACGTCAACATTGTTGACCGAGCTCGCGCGGCGATGCAGGAAGGCGATCCGGCGATCGGCTTCCTCAGCGGCTTCGCCCTCCCCCTATTAACCCACCCTCGCCCCAACGACGACGTGCGCGATATGGCGCGGCGCTCGGACAATCGATATCTGGTCATCCAATTGTGGTTTATGAGATTTCAATAGCACCGCTGCCGCGCGATACACTGCCGCAATTACGGTAATCCTATCGGTACTAGTAGCCAGTCGACGGTAAACCGCACGCACTCTCCGCCCTCCCCCTCCTCTCTCATTTTGACGTTCGCTACTGATCGCTAGATCCGCTCGCGGAATTTCCACGTCGGATCGCTGTGTACTTTGCAAGACGCGCGACAATGATTCATACATTCGAACGGACATTAAGCGAGAGCCACGAGCGAATTCATTTAACCGACGTGCAGAATTAATAATGAGCTTTAGTTTGGCTAAAAAGCCGATTTTCCACGCGCGAACGAACGAGGGAGAGAGAAAGAGAGGGAAGAAGAGAGGGTGCGATAAAGTCGGTCGCCGCGGCACGCTGCAATGAGCTTACAGCTATGCAATGCGTTTGTAACACCGGCTTTTTCTCCCTCTCTCTCTCCCTCCCTCCCTCTCTCTCTCCCTCCCTCTCTCTCTCTCTCTCTCTCTCCCTCTCTCCCTCTCTCTCTCTCTCTCTCTCCACGTGTGTACATCGACGATGTATGCGCGACAACAACGGATGCGTCGGATCCATCGATCGATGGGAGCGCGCGCGCGCGCATAAATTATTGCGCACGCACCGGTCGCTGCACGCGGAAACATTTGCGAATTGATTCGGTTAATGTCTGAACGCGCGGCGGCCGATCCCGGAGCCGCTGATGAGTCCGCAGATATCGAATTACCACCAGCGACTTCACCCCATCGCTGGACCGACGCGTCGCGTCGTACCTGTCGTGTTCCGTCTATTGTCGCGATAAGACGGCTAATACCGCGCGGCCCAATTGACCCGATCAAAAGGACCCGATTAACAGATCGGGAATTGAGTGTTTCTGCCAACGATATTCATTATCGCGACGAGTCGGGATGACTGACTTCTCTCGCGACCGCTCAAGCCACTCGAGACAGTCGAAAGATCCGCAGAAGAAACTTGTAAAAGTTCAATCAGCTGTTTCACGTGCTTCTCGAGTATCGGCTGTTCTTCTTCTCAGTAGTCGCTGCCTCTCTATCTGAATTCTAGTCAAGCCACTTTTACGTATGAAATATCCTACAATATGGTCCGATATGATGTATATTATCAATCAACTCCTTAATCGACTTTAATTATCAGAGTTACAAAATTCATCAACTCGAACCCTCTCAAGAAGAGCTCAAAAATAAATGCTTGAGATCGTTCGCATCTCTGGCGGAGAGCAATTATTTTCCCAACTCGGCTTTCACCGCCACCTCCTCCCCCACACGTACGCACGCACACAGTAGGTCGCTTAAAATGAGCGTAGTAAGGGCACTCGCGCAAACGCGCGACGTTCTAGCTATTTACCCCCTCGCATTCAGCCGAACCTATTATAGCCCCATTCGACGAAACTATTCATCCGGTGCGCTTCTAACTGTTTCGAACGGTGTGTATCACCACCTATTATCCCCGGCGGCATCGATCGGTCGACGGAGTCGCGCGGGGGGAAAGCTCGCGGGGAGGAAAAGAACGCGAGAATAGAAAATCGCGCGCGGTCGTCGCGCTGCGACGGGACGAAATAAGCCGTCTCGTCGGAAATTCGGGAAAATACGAGTACTCCGATTTTCCCGGCTCGGTGGCCGGCCGGAGGGCACGGAAAGAGAGAGAGAGAGAGAGAGACAGAGAGAGAGAAAGAGAGAGAGAGAGAGAGAGAGAGAGAGACAGAGAGAGAGAGAGAGAGAGAGAGAGAGAGAGAGAGAGAGAGACAGAGAGAGAGAAAGAGAGAGAGAGAGAGAGAGAGAGAGAGAGAGAGAGAGAGAGAGAGAACGGTATCGCGGAGAACTCGTTAATCGACGGTCTGCCGACCAATTGTGGTTTACGAGATTTCAATAGGGATGCCCGGTATGCCGGCGCAATTCCGGCAATCCTATCGGCCCCGGGAAAGCGCGCGCTCGCGTTCGCCACCGAGAGTTGCCGAGGTATACACTGTATTGTCTAGCCCCGTCGGGATTCACCGGGTACCATTTATAGGCGGTTAATGAAATGCTTAGTACTTCGACTTGCTACAGCGGCACGGAGAGAGCGTATTTACCGTCGCCATACCACTTATCAATTGGCTCGTGCATTGGCGCTCCGTTTCGCTCCCCCCTCCCTCCCTCCCTCCCTTCCTCCTTCCCCTCGCAGCGCGTCGATCGATATACGGGACGCACCGAAGCAGATGTACGTACGAGTGTATGTATATGCGTGTAACCGGAAATATTCCCTACGTCCTGGCGACGGCTGTCCAGCTCGAAGAACGTCGAGCAGTCACTCGGGGAGTCCCGCGCGTATTGCTCGAAATGAAACATTCTCGGAGGTCTCGGAGTCCACGGCTCTTCGCGCGGTTCACTCGGATACATTGAGGGGGACCTCCGCACGAGCGCTTTTCCGGTGAATATTCGAGCGCTCGCCCTTAATTCCATTTCCGAGGGAACCGCGACTTTCCCGCGAGAAATATTTCGCTCGACGAGTCGGCGACTTTCCCGCTCCTCCTCGACGTCGAGTGCTTTGATGTTGAAGTCGACGAAAAATCGAGCTCTTCAATTTTACAACCGAAGTCAGAAGTCGCGATCTAATGACGGCGCGATCAACAGCTCGAATTAATTCGAAGCGAAATTAACTCGAGCTTCTGTCGCCGCTGCGGCGACCACGAATTTTTGGAGCCCGAATCGTCGCCAGGCGGGACATCGATACGATTAAGCGGCGAAGCTCGATTTAGTCGAACGTGCCGTCAAGTTTTCGCTCGCCCGGAGAAATCGATCACGGAGATCGGAGCGGGCGCCGTTGACGCGCGGTCTCTCTTCACGCAGCCTGTAGGAAAACGTCGAGCGAATAATAATTAAATCCACCTACAATCGGAAATTCGTATCTCGTATCTCTACACTCGACGTATACTCGTATCTCCGGTATGAATATTCCGCGCGCTCGTGTGTCTCGTATTATGAATATTTGATTGGAACGAATTGAAATGTTACCGCATGAATGATTGAAATAAAATCGGCGCGCGGCCGATGCTAAAAACAAATCAGCTGTATTACGCAGGTCGCGAGGACTCGCTCGATGTTGTATATTTCGACATTTAATATGCAGCCGCTTCTCTCTCGCTCCCTCTCTCGCTTCCCTCCCCGCCCTCCTCTTCTCTCTCTCTCTCTCTCTCTCTCTCTCTCTCTCTCTCTCGCTCTATTTTCCTTCTTTCTCGATAAATCGACAAACGTTTCTTGCGTGATAAAGAACCGCGCCTGATTAATCGAATCGAATGTGGCACGTGCGGGGCGACAAAAGGAGCGCTTTCGCGTGCAAGCCCGCCATTATTAATAATTGAATTCGTGATATTCCCTCTTATCGATTTTCTATTTTTAACCCTCTCGGGCGAGAAAATTTAACACACCTCTCGGCCGACTAATTCATTTTGATGCCTCTTAATTAAATGCGAAATTTATCCTCGTCGCGCCGCCCGGCGCCGCAAACGGCCCGGCCCGGGAAAGCGGGGAAACGCGCGCGCGCGCGCGCGAATACTTCCGCTCGCGGCGATAATTAATCATTCGGCGGGAAATCGCGAGACGCCCGTGACGTCCGCGTTACACATTAGTCGGCGATGCGCGCCGCATTATTTGCTCGCAAACGACTCCTCTCGAATTAGCATTCACAATCGATGCTCCCTTAGAAAACGACTGTTAACGGACACGAAGCGCCCGCTTTTTCTACGTTCCTCCTCTTCCTCCTCTTCCTCCTCCTCTTCGCCCGAACGTGGTGCAGCCCAGCGCGTAATTACGTCGCGCGTCCGATAAATAAAGACGCGCACTATCGGGCACGTTTTTGCAGCGCGCCGCCAGAGCTCTTGCCGTTTAGCGAGCGACGGGATTAGCGTTGGAAAAAATGACCGTATTGACCAATGAGGACACACATACGGGTAGCCGAGGAAGAAGAATAAAGGCACCTCGGACCCGCAGGAGAGACGGATATCGGGGTTTAATGAAGGTCCCAAGATTTGAATCACCCAGCGACGATCATCGCCCAGCGAATCTGATTCGCACAGTCTTTCCCTTTTTCATTCTCTCCTCCCTTTTCCTTCTCTTTCTCTCTCTTTCTCTTTCGGTCTTTCTCCTCACATTCTTTCTCCCCCCGCCCCTTTAATACCATCCCCGTGCAGCGAAATTTCTTTTTTCTTTCGTTCGGTGTTTCCCCGCGGAGGAACGCTCGCTTCTTTCCCTCTCTCTCCCTTCCATTTCCTTTCTTCTGTTCTCTCCCCCTCCCCCCCTCTCTCTCTCTCTCTCTCTCTCTGTCTCTCTCGTACCGACCCGTCCCGTCTAAATCGCGTACTTAATATTGCACCTTCTCGCCCTCGCGCGGCACTGGCAGCGGCAGCGGCGGAATTATTTATGACGACGCTCGAAATTCATATTCACCCGCGGCATTCATCGCGAATTCGACCGCGCTTCGGCTCGTATCGGCCGCGTCGGGCCGCGCAAATAATGCAAAATATCCGCTGTTCTAACCCCCCTCCCGCTTTCCCACCTGATACGCCGCGCGGCGCGATTCTTCGACGTCGCCTCGGCCGCGCCGGCGAACGACCGCTCGCAGACGGCAAATCCCGCGGAATCCCGGAGCGCTCCGCGTGTGTTACTCGTGTTCGTTATAGATTCGCGAATTATGCAGGCGTCGCAGAAGCCCCGACGAAAGATTTATCCCCGCCCCAGACAACAAGCCTGAAAATCAAGCGCGGAAATCTTTGTCGCGCGGGTGGTAATTGATGGTCCTCGCCCAAGTGAGCCTTCAATCTCACGGGCGCAGCGCGGCGGGAATAATCGCGAGGAGCGAGAAAACGCGGCCGAGTGTAGATTGCCTTATCGGTGACAGATCGATATCCCTGTGTTTACCACGCTCGGCCCCGTAATGAACCGCGAATACGGGGCTAACGTTAATCAGCGAGCACGCGCGTGTGGCCGTCGAATGAATTTTTAATCACGCCGCGTCCGTTTGTGCGTCCCCGGCGCGCCTTCCGAGCTCGAGCGAGTGTTCTTGTGTGTCTCACAGTGCGGTTTCCAGTGCGGGACTTTCGATTATATACTTCGCGAAATACGCTCTACGCAGAAAGAAAAATTTAGGTCGCGAGGAGGCAAAGCGCCTCAGTCTCACGACGACGTGCCTCGCTCGTAGCCGGCCATTCTCGGCCAGACGCTTTCGTTTGCACTCACATCGCGTTCACCATGACTATCGATCGTCTCAGCTGTAGAATTTTCTCGCAGATTATACGTAACAGCGCGAAGCGGGCGAGACGTTGCCTCGCGCGCGCGCGAGCTAAACCTCAAACTGTCAAGCTGTCGACGCGCGGCTGCCTCGGAACGTCATTACCGGCGCGGCGGTCTCGGATGGCCAACAGTCACGATGAACGCGTAGAAACGAGTCCGGTCGAAAAGCTGTGCACTGTAACTCTCGATCCGGCGAATGTTCGGGCATCAACGAAACACGCGAGCGTCATGGTGCCGCGATTTTATCGCTGCGCTTCGCTGACAAACGTCTAGCCGGCGCGCAACCGTGAAATTGAATAACGCGAGAGATGCCTTCTCTCTCTCTCTCTCTCTTTTTCAGTTGCAGTGTTGCGGCGTCGAGGGCCCGAAGGATTGGGACCGCAACAATTATTTCAATTGTTCGTCGAGCGACATCGGCTCGAGGGAAGCGTGCGGCGTGCCTTTTAGCTGTTGCAAGCGGAAACACAATGTAACTCTCACACTGACCGACTCGCAGTCGCACTCGCGATCGCCGCGATCGGCGCGGCGGCGCGAGATACGCTTGCCGATTCCGCGGGCCTCTCACGCACCGTCGAGAGTTAAGCAGTCCTCTTATTTGTTTCAGGAAATCATTAAGAATAAACAGTGCGGCTACGACGTGAGGAAGCCCAGTTACGTAAGTGTATTATATCTCGCTTTCACACGTCACTCCGACATGCGCGCGCGCGCGCGCGGGAGGATTTCCCTTTTCCTTTTCTCCTCCCTCTCGCGTACATCGCGGGGATTGATGATTGGCGCAGCCAACTGACTGCGTCAACCGAAGGTCCGACGCTCGTACGATGATTACAAGTGTTGCTCATCCGCAACGCGACATGCTTCTCTCTCTCTCTCTCTCTCTCTCTCTCTCTCTCTCTCTCTCTCTTTCCCTCGTGGAACCATCGTTTTTACCCTTCACGCGCGCGCGCATACACACATACCGACGACGACACCCTGATACTCCGGGCGTTCCTAGTTTCGCCTTGTTTCCGATTCGAAACTTGCGTCATTTCGCGCCGTCGTGCCGTTACGGGAGTCCCATCGGTAAACTGAGAGCGCGGAGCCGCATAATTTGTCTTTGAAATCGCACTGTGTATCGCGTTATAGTCCAGATTCAAGATAGCGAGGAGGGTAGTTTCTCGCGCGCGCGCGCGCGCGTGCGATTACACAATGTCTAGGCGGGCGCGGCGGGCAAGGACGGGAGAAGAGGGGGAGGGGAGGCCGGGCAAAAACGATCCGGGTCAAGAAACCGTGGAACTTAATTAGAGAGAAAATGGTCGAGTCCGCAGGGGGTGGGCGGCCCGGGCCAGGCGAGGGGGCGTAGGGGGAGGGGGATAAGAACTTCTGTGCCGGCTCCTATTTTAAGAGTAGGTATATCATTCCCGGTGTAATGGGGCTGAAACCCGCCCCCGGGCTAATTACGTTTTCACCGTGAGGCCTCCGTCGCTTAATTGTAGTCTTCGTCGGGCGGCCGTTAATGCGCGCGCGCGGTCGCGATATGCGGCGGCGATACGGCGAGGCGACGAGACGCCGATAAAGCGGCTAAATAACGACGAGTCGACTCGCGCGGACTCGCGAACGCTCCCGCGAACGGCGGGGGGAACATCAACGTGGAGGTTTCGCGCGCCGCGAAAAATCCCGCTCGGCGGCCGACGGCGGGAGATTCGCCGCGGCGGATTCAGCGGCAGAATTCAGCCGCACTTTGGCCGCGCTTCTCGCGCTCGCAACAGCGAGCATCACGAACACCTTATTACGTTTCTCGAACTTTCCCCCTGTGGCGGGCCGCTAAGTTATGCTCGCACGCCAGCCGATAAAGTTCAGTCTTCTTCCTGCCGGCGCGGTCTCGCGGGTGCTTCTCCGGCCAACGGCGCGCGATGCTCGGCTCATGGGGTACGGGAGGGAGGGTGAGTCGCGATTAAGAGCAAGGCGTTCTCGGACTTTTGTTCGTCTTTCTTCCGTTTCCTGTTTCCCTCCCCCCCCCCCTCTCGACCAACCCCCCGTCGACGAGCGTACAAGTCGTCGTCGTGGCTGCCGTCTCGCCAATGTGGACGTCGATAGTTCGCTGTTCGCGTTATCGGCGCGTCGCAGCCGCGACGACAAAGACGACAAAGACAACGACGAGGACGACGAGGACGAGGACGAGGACGTCGGACGGCAGTCGCGTAATTGTCCGTGAGCCTTCGAGCTCGTCGACGATTGTCGTGTATGTTGTATATGTGTATGTACGGCTTTTTAAATCGTTTCTATTTACGGCCCCGGGCCAACACGCAGACGGGCGAGAGGAGTATATTCGAGCGGGGTTGCCTGAGAGCGGGCGAAGAGTGGCTAGAATTGAACCTCGTGCCCGTCGCTGGCGCCGTGGTCAGCACTATGGTTCTGCAGGTATCTGCTTTCTACCTCGCCTACAGTGCCCCGTTCCTCGTGAAAAAAAAAAGACAGAAGAAAAACGATCAGCCGCCAAGCTGGGAAGCTGGGACTCTCTCCGCTCGCCGATGACGCGCCATCCGTGCAAATCCGCGCCATCGGTTCCTTTCGCGGTCCAACTGCTCGCTCCTCGAAACGCGCCATCGTGCGCGACTTTTCAGCCGAAATCGTCGCGCCCGCGAGCGTCTCGCGCGTGCCGCAACGTGCGCGTCGGCCGGAAATCTGTTCGCTTTGGATCCGCATTGTGTTCCCTCGTAAAATCGTAATTTCTAGTAGCCGGGAACTTTCCACGCTCGATCCCAGCCACGTCAATCCAAAGCCACATGCGCTCGGAAGGACCAATCTTCCCGAGCAAACATTGCGAAAAACTCTGGCCAATAGGAAGCCCAGCTCCTCGACACCCCGCAAAGATACGCGCGGCGCGAGTCGTTCCGATGTAACGTGGAGAATATCGGAGCCTAGCGCGAACAGCTGTTGAGCTTTCGCGTACCGTAAGAGCAAAGTTCCCGTCTACGGCTGCCGCCGTAGATTAGAGGCGAACTTCTCGACAGAGTCACTCGCGATTTCGGGGCTCCGTTCGATAATAAATATCCGATAATAAATAGCGGCGCGTCGCCACGGCGGCGGTGGTAACACGCGCGCAAAGTTTACCGGCGTTCATTGCACCCGGCAATTGTACGACATCGCGCGACAAAGCGCCGGTCGACGCGCGCTATTACGCATCGCCGACCGCGTTTCGTCTTATTCACCTTTCCGCGGGCGCGTGTGTGAGAATATTCTAAGCGCGGTGTAGAGCTCGCCGATCGATTCTCGCCCTTACAGCGACACACCGCGACGATGTCGGCGGCACAAAGCGGCCGGGAAGAGTAAACTTCGGTGCTGAGGGCTGGCTGGGCGGACAGAGAGACGGATCGAGCGAGCGCGATGCAAAGCGGCGCGGCGGTTTGACCCGTCCGAGGCCTTAATTCCATTAAGAGCGATGCGTTCGCTCGCGAGACGCGGCGACGAGCGCATAACCGGCCGTAACGGCGCTCGGCGAAAAGTACGAGTCGAGAGAGTCCGTCGGAGTCTCTCCCAGCTTCTTGGTCCGCGTCGAAGTAGTGTGCGACGCAGTCGCAGCAGTCTACAAACGTGGTCGCATGTATATTTAATCTAGACGTCGCAAGGTGTTCTGCGCTGCGTCCCGGAACCACCGGAGGGACGTGTCCCCTTAATCGCGAATTCTTCGGGGAAGGTGCACACAATCCGGGGGCCATTTCGCGAGCGAGCGTCCTCGTGAAACGAACGTCCGCCGTGTGCCGGTCTCGCCCTCGCCGGTGGTTTCGGCGCGCTCCATGTGCAAACTCGATATACCGTTCTGTTTCTCTCCTTTTCTTTACGCTCCGTATTGTTCGATGACAGATGTATGCTCGTTTCGTTGTCATATACTATAGAGAACGTCACGACCAGCGTGCGCGTGCGCGCGCGCGCGCTCAAGCGCGTTGTGTGGGCCGCACGACAAGTAAGTACCAGCGAACGCGTACAACGCGTATATTCCCGATGCGTCTCGCGCACGACACGCGCCGGCGACCGCGGAGGCGATCGATAAGTAGGTAAGTATGTACACACGTACCATACAGAGACAACAGCGCTTTGCAACGAGAGAGGGAAAGAAACGTCACGCGCGCGACGATTTTGCAGAGGGGAGCAGCGGGGGTGGAAACGCGTGACGCAACGATCTTACGCGCAACGGCACTCGGAAATTTGCGTTTCGTGTCGCTATTGATTTGTTTATGCGTCCGTTCTCCCTTCCCTCTCCCTCCCTTTCTCTCTCTCTCTCTCTCTCTCTCTCTCTCTCTCTCTCTCTCTCTCTCTCTTTTGATTCTGTATCGCACCCTTAAAAATTTAATATCATATTCGGCACGCGTGTGGCGACCTCTGCTGCTGCGAAAATTGGACGCATCAAGTTAGCGATACGCGCTAATTTGAGTATCCGCCGGCGGCGGAAGATTTCCGACGGACACTGATTTCGTTCGAACCGATTTCTCTTTCGCATTGTTTCCCGCACCCGCGATGTGAACCTGGCAAACAGCTTAATAAAAGAAAAAAATTCTCAATACCATTCGATTGTACTTCGTTTGTACCTGTTTGTACCAAACGTGTTTTTTCGTTCGTACCTCAAAGAATGAAAAGATAGCGGGGAAGGGAAAAAGTAGCCAGGAAGCAAGTATAAAATATCTGAAAACGGTCGACGCCGTCCGAAAGAGAATTGTTTGTACCGGTTTGTACCTCCCTTCAAGTCGTTTGTACATCAAAGGAAGCGGAAGTACAGAATTTTCAAAAATCATCCAAGAGGTACTTTCGTCAATTTTTGAGACATCGCAAAATGACCAACGTCATTCGAAAGAGAACCATTTGTACAGGACCATTTATACGGGATTTGTCGGGGAATTATCGACAGTCGCGTCCTGATAACCGTCGCCACGTTTATCCTACGTTTCATTTTTCTTTACCGAAGAGTTCCTACCGAACGCTACTCTCCGCGTAGTCAGACACATTATACACTTTAATGAAGATGGGTGTATAAGTCATAAGCGCGTGCGCAACACGCGAGTATTGTATAAAAGCGCTTATACGAGTATGGCACGCGATGCAATAATACGAGTTTTTCCTGTCTCGTAATCAGTACGCTAAATTACTGCCAGCTCGCTGTATAATCCTGACGGCCGGGCGATTATACTTCCTTCCCCCGATGTGTATAACGAACGTCCGAGGAACCAGTTTGCGCGTCATAAACGTGAGCCTCTGTCTCCCTCATTCCTCGCTCTTTCTCTCTCTCCCTCTCCCTCTCTCTCTCTCTCTCTCTCTCTCTCTCTCTCTCTCTCTCTCTCTCCTCTTGCAACGTGGTTTTCTATTAATTCCACGGTAATTATTCAAATTTCAATTTCGCGGCTGACGAGTTTTACTGTTATTTCGACGACGCTCCCGTCCAATTACACGCGACAAAATTGCGTATCGTTGACATATCGGCCGGCGAACCGGCGCGCATTAATATTACATTAATTGACACGTTTAATCGAAAATTATCGGGAAATTCATAATTAAATTTGCAATTGAATTGCGATTACCGTCACCGTCGGCGTGTCAATATGTATTCACGAAATTAACCGACGACTCTATCTCTCCATTTCTCCCTCTCTCTCTCTCTCTCTCTCTCTCTCTCTCTCTCTCTCTCTCTCTCTCTCTCTTTCTAAATAAACTCATTCGCCGATTTAAGAAATAATTTCCGCGCACTCGTCAACTCACAAATTCGCACCGTCGCGATGCGTTTTCCCGGATGAACGTTCCACGTGGACTCGGATATGCGTATCCTAGATTTCACGCAGATTCCGACTCTTCCGCGCTGTATTATCTCGCGGAGTATACCGTATCGCGCGCGGCCATAGAGTAACATCGCTCGCGCGATTACGCGACGGCGAAATTACGAGCCGGCCAAGTCGGCCGAGGAGGCGCGGAATCATATTACGCTAAAATCACGGGATTATACTAGCACGCTAGAGCCCGGGATTATGCCCGCGCTATAATCGCGCGCTTATCTATGCTAGCGCGCGCGATTGTACCGTGTTAGAATTGCGATGCTATCTATGCTAATACGGCAGATTATAGTACGCTAAAATAGGGAGGCTGCCATCGCGCGCCGTATAAGCTATCCGACGTTGTCCGCAACAGAAAAAGAAAAGACGAGGCGGAAAAGGGAAAGAACAAAACAGAAGGGGAAAGGGAGAAAACAGTGGGAGAGAGGCTGCCACCTTAAGGAGACCCGCGCGCGATCGGCGTGTCCGCGCTCCGATAAGATTTCGATAAGAGCGAAAGCGAGTCGCGACGACGAAGCGTATCAGAAACCGATAATTCCGAGACGATACTCCACATTTCGCTTCTCTCTCTCTCTCTCTCTCTCTCTCTCTCTCTCTCTCTTTCTCTCTCTCTCTCTCTCTCTCTCAAGTATGCGAACTGCACGCGCGCATAAAAGTGGGAACGATGATCGCGCAGCGGATCGGAAATTGTCGGTGAACCTCGAAGATCCAAAGTGAGCGTCGCGATACCCCGCTCTACGTCTTCCGCGGTGTAGATCTTCCCCAGCGCGTTCAATTAATCTTTCCTCCTTGGCGCCGAAGAGCATTCCCGCCACGCGCGCAACTCGCGTCTCGTGCCGGGGTCTCAATTAATCGCGTTTAACCGAAGTCACGTTGCGTACACACGGCGGACCCTCGTCGCTCGTTCTTTCATTCTCGAATCCTTTGCGCGAGTCCTGCCCGATATCCTCGTCCTCGTTATCGTCGTCGTCGTTGTCGGTCGCTTAGCGCAACGTCGAACAGCCGGAATAAATTAACAGAGTTTCCCGCGCGCGGGATTCTCCCGCCGGGGTGGCGGAGGAGGGCCGGCTCGCTATACGGGGCGCGAAAACTCTTAAGTAATTAGAGCCTCTAACGCCCCGCTAATGAGGGGCTCGTACAATATCGCCGCACAGTATCGCGAGGGCGAGGGAAAGAAGGAAAAGGGTGGATGGAGGGACAAGGTCGGAAAAGTCGAGTCGGACGGTCGGGGGAATAAGGTGCAAATGAAGTAGTCGGGCCACTGGAAGCCCCCGGCGCAGTTATTTCAGAGGCTCCTTCAGGCTAAACGCGCGAGGCACACGGCGTAACAGAGTGGGCTTGTTACTCAAACCTCCCGTAACCCTCGACCTCCCGCCGCCCACTCCCGAATAACACGCCACACGTGCCTTCCTTCGCCCTTCCGTTTCCTTCGCTGTTGTACCCGTACATCTCCCGGGCACGTACGCCCCCTCCCCCCTCCTCCCGCTCGCCCAACTCCCTCGTTCGCCCTTCGGCATCCAGCGGTTCCCACCGATCGGAGTTTTCGCTCCTTCCTCGGCATCCCCGTTTTACGAGAGAGAGAGAGAGAGAGAGATCCGTGCCCTCTCCTCGCGCCAACGCTGCCCCCATAAATTAGGTCGCTACCTTTGTATGAGTGGAAATTGAAGTTACCGGCCGGAGAGAGAGTCTCCCTCGCTCGGAAATTTAAGCAGCGGAATTTGTTGTTCGAGTCGAGCGAGAGAGAGAGAGAGAGAGAGAGAGAGAGAGAGAGAGAGAGAGAGAGAGAGAGAGGGAGCTAGCAAAACGATACCGTTTGCTCACGGACGTCACTTTCGTGACGTATAAAACACATCCTACCTTCCTCTCTCCCTTTTTTCCAACTTCGAGAGAAGCGAATAATACGGTACAGTCCACATGGCGCGGTAACGACGGGATCGCGAGAGGCGGAGGGTGGAAATCGTCGCGAGGGCGCCTTATTGAGTTCTCGCTGAACGGCGGCGGCGCGTGGCGGCGGCTGAGTCGGAGTGGGATGTAAAGGCGAAGATGGACATCCTTTCGGATGTCCTTCGTTCGCAGCTTTTCGCGACGGCGAGCCCGGGCTTGATCGCCGCCGGCCGGAAGCCCGCGGCTCTTTCGAGCGCGTCGCGGCTCCTCGAAGCGGAAGGCTGACTCGTCCGCTGATGTCGCAATCCGTTCGTGACGAATGCCACTGATTTTTTGTCTCGTTTCTCCTTCGTCGCGGAAATAGCGAGTCGCGCTGTCGCAACGATCCCGAGATATCGGGCGACGGCGCGCGTTCGCCGCCGAGGGATCAAGTGCCGATTATTTATTGCGGCAAGACGCCGGGATGACGAAATATCGCGCGTCCCGCGCGACGCACGCTCGCCGAGAAGCCGATTGCGACAGACCGCTCGCGGTAGCGCGCGATCGACGGTAAAAACGGCGCGGGGTTACATAAATGAGGGAACTCGGTGCCGTTTCGATCCCCTTCACTTTCCCCGGACGGGGGGATACCCCGTTGTGGAGGTAAATCTCTGGCTGCACCACGACCGTCACCGGACTACCCGGCCGTGATCGTAATCATATCGCGAGGGGGTGTGCGAGTAGCCACGGTAAGCCGAGTAGCCAGCCGTCTCCTTTCTTTTTTCAGAGCTTTGAGGTGGCCAAAGTGATTTACGAAAAAGGTTGCATACAGGCCGGCGAGGAGTGGATGGAGCGAAATCTCCTTGCGATTGCCAGCGGCGCGGTCGGTACGGCGTTTGCTCAGGTACATGTCGGTGAGAGAGATGCATTTAGTGTAAGTGTAAGTGTAAGGAAGGTCCGACCTTCGCAGCACGCATCGAAAGGCGGTCTCGCCGCGGAAATCCGCAGCCAAGCGCGGCTAACACTTTGAATCCGCCGCGTCTAATCCCCAACTTGGGGCCGGGCTGAATAACAACGCGCCTTTGCCGAACGCTCGCGAAAAGTCGCCGAGGCGGAGATCTCCGCGGGCGGAATTTCGAGGTTGCTGTGCAGCGCGCGGAAATAATACCGGCGCGCGGAGATCTCCTTCGAAAAAATTCCAGCCGAGTGACTACAGCGAAGAGCGGTTTGAGCGTCGCGACGGAGAAGGCGGAGAGAGGAGAATAGAGAGAGAGAGAGAGAGAGAGAGAGAGAGAGAGAGGGAGGGAGAGAGAGAGAGACAGAGGAGTGGAGAGAATCCTCGTGGAAAATTTCCGAGAGATTTCACTCCGAGATTTAAATACCTCGGCGCGCGTTTTACAGCGTTCGGTAATTGCGGTCCCCTTAAAATTCGACTCGCTAACGGGCGGGAGGAGGCAGCTCGGAGTCTCGGCGCGACTTGTTTAATTTTCAATTTGCGATTCAGATGTATTCCGCCGTGAGACTGGCTCGCTCATCGCTAAGATTGCCGTCATCGATTCAAAGTGTTAAAATGAGAATTTTAGCGCGTTTCTCGTAATGCGCTCGTCGATGCGGAGGCCGCCGGCGGGGCGCTATATAGAGGAGGCGTTGCATGCCTCCACCCCCCCCACCCCCCTGAGGAAATAAGGTGAGGGAGAGAAAGAGCGACACACACACACCAGTCTGCGCTCTAGCAACTGTTGACTGTTGATTCGCCTCGTAGCGGGGGGTTGCACCCGGCCAGAGACGTAAAGTAGATGCGAGATACATAGTAACACGTAGCGGCCAGGCGTGATGCGAGTGCGTTTATCAGTGTAATATATTGAAACCCCTGAATCTCATTAAAGGATTCTACATTAGAGCTTATTTACGACGCAGACTTCTCCCCCCGTTGTGTTCGTGTGTATGTGTGTGTCAACGTAGTAGATGCGCAGAAGGCATGCGTTGATATTGCTCGCTGTGTATCTTACGCTAGATTATTATCAACTGCATCTCTATTAATTGCATCTCGGTGTGATGGACGATCTAATTAATTATTCGAGTACATCCAGTGGGCACGCGCCGATAGGCGTGTACACGTGTCTAATTACACATGTGTGTGTATACATACGATATGTAATTATTCGGAGTTACGACCGTCTTATTTCCGTAGCGTGTGCAACGCTACAATATATTGACTCTCTAAGCATGAGTAATGAAACTGCCAGATATAACGCGCAAGGCGAACGGATGTAAATCGAGACTCGCTTACTCCCAACTCGCACCAGTCCCTTGATTTGTGCCCTTTCTCTCTCTCTCTCTCTCTCTCTCTCTCTCTCTCTCTCTCTCTCTCTCTCTCTGTTTTGTGTAACATTTCCGTAGCTGTGTGCGTAGGAGGGAGAGACTTTGTCACCTCCGTCGCATTTTCGCAGACTTCGTTTCGTGTCCATCTCTGCAGACCGGTCAATTTCCAGATAAATATTCGAGATGCAACTCGAAGAGTGCGAAGCCATCGGTGTAACGAAAATCACTCGCAAGTCGAGCGGAAGAAAAAAAACAGCGGAAGAAACGTCTCGAGGAATGAGCTCGAGAAAGAGCCGCGAATTTCAGCGTGGAGGAAAATAAGCGGAGACACGAAGTGCGAATATTCTGTGAAAATACGACGCGACCGCGACTCCCTCTCTCTCTCTCTCTCTCTCTCTCTCTCTCTCTCTCTCTCTCTCTCTCTCTCTCTCTCTTTGCACGAGGGGAAATAACCGGGACTGTGTCTCACTGTTTTCAGATTCTGGGGATCTGCTTCGCGCAGAATCTGCGCGCGGACATATTCGCGCAAAAGGCGAAGTGGCATTGACAATCGCGAGCCCCCACGGCAGTGTAGCATCTCGTCTTCGTAGATGCTAACCGACTGCGTTGATCGAGTCGTCGACGAGGTCTCGGCGCGGACTCGGAGCTTCTCCGCCGGCGAGCGGATCGCACCTCCGCATGGGATCCTCCTGCTGGGGACGAGGGCAGCGGGGACGGAGCGAGAGACGGGCCGCCTCGCGGAGGATCTTCCTCGCGGCCCGACCGAGGCTAAGCGAATGGGACGCCGAGATGCGGCCCGTTATCCTCCGCGACCGGCCGATAACGACGCGTTCGCGTCGCGTCCTTCGCTCGGCTCGCAGATTCGTCCGACCGTCGTCCCGCTCCTACCGTACCGTCCAATCGATTAACGCCTGATTCGCCGGATAATGAGAGAAATTGATCATCCCCGAGGTGTTGCTATCGGTTTCGGCGAGAAAACGCAGAGTCGATTTTTCGCGGCGAGCGCGTAGTGACCGCGGGCAGCCGCGAGAGAGAGAGAGAGAGAGAGAGAGAGAGAGCACGTCTGCTCTCTCGCGTTGCGCACCTGCGACATCACAGGTGATTATCTCGCCCGTCGGATCGTGAATCGTTAGAGGCTGTGACGTAACGGTGCGAACGGTCGAACGATGCGCACGTTTTCACGGATTTGCGATCGGAGATGCTCGAGCGCGCGCATTTTTGCTTCTTTTCTCTCTTCCCTATAAATCAAGGTCAATTTCTCTCGTTATCAGACGACGTCGGCGAGGGGAGGCTGGTGGTCGCGCGACGCGAGCGTCGGGCAGCGAGGTTTTTCGACCGCGGTATATATCGTCACCGGGAGCATCCGATGTAACGTTTGTCTTCATCACCGGATCACCGGTACGTCTCGATGTTTCATCCGGACGTCGCCGTCTGCGAAACGTATCTGCTTCACTGCGAAAAATCGAAATTCCGTCGCGGCTCTCTCCCCCACCCCCTTCCGCCTCTGTCTCTCCTCCTCCGTTTTTCCCTTCCTTTCGCGAGACGCCCGCGAGTCGCCCGCGAATGACTCAAGCTTGTCGGACACAAGAGAGACCGTGCGCAAAGTTCCAGAGAGCGGGCAGTGAGCATTTTTTTCATTAGTGTCTGTGATAATCATACGGATTCTCCGCGGCATTGAGCGTCTCGGCCGGCGAGGGGACACGGCGCGCGATGAAACTGGGCGACTGGCGAGTCGCATAAAGTGCGCGACTCGCGCCAAGACCGATCTGCCTACGGCCGTTTTCGCGATAGCGACGAGTCAACGAGACAGCGATCAGGCACGAGTGATACTCAAAACGGCGCTCTCGGAATGCTCCACGGAGAATCGATACTCCCAGGGCAAACAACAGGGTCCCCCCATCCGCGTCGGCTGCTGCTCGCGGCTCGATCCCTCTCGAGACACCGCCGCGGGGGCCGACATCGCATGTTCGGCATCCACTTTCGTCCCTAATCGCGGCTAACCGCATACTTTCGTTTTCCCCGAGCATAACCGTAAACCGAACGTGAGATGATACGCGGTATACGGCAGCGTTTCTCACGCCTGCTGCCGTTCGTCCCCCCTCATTACACCGGGCGAACCGGTGAAACTGCACGATCCGCGCTCATTACCCCCTTTCCCTTCGTAACGCTTCAGCGTATCCCCCGCGTCATCGCACCGAAGTCGATACGTTCCGCCGTTCCGGAGAAGACGAACGCGATCCTCCTCCGCCGAGGATAGCGAACGAGCGCGATGCGTCGAGGGGTCGTCATTAAGAGTCGATCGACGTGATGTCGTCGTCGTGGGGGCGCGGTGAACGAGAGAGAGATCGGCTTCACCGCACGACTTGAGCGAAGCAACCAGCTCACCGCCGTGACTGAGAAAACGGCAGCCATACGACACGCGAGTATACAATAAACTTTCCCTCGCTCCAATCGGCCGTTCAAATGGTGGTCATGATTCGTGCCACTTTGGCCATATTGATCCCGCGTTGCACACACACACACACACACACACACACACACACCCCTACACACAGACGTGTAACACACTCACACAATACACCCCGGCATGTTCTCCATCCCTCCATCGGCGGGCCAGGTGTCCGTCGTACACGTTGTATCTGCCGCACGTGTATCGCGAAGGCGCGTCGAAGGAAGGAGGCGCCCTTCGTCCGACCCTTCGGGTGCGTATCGATCTGGGCCACAACGGCGAAAACAACATTCGTCAACGCAAAGGACTCGTCCGTAAACGGAGGAGGACGTCCGTCGGCGAAGGGTCGACCGCAAGCCCGTTGCGTGGGACGTCTCGCACGTCCCACTTGAAGCGCAACTTCAAGCGTGCAGCACGTGCGCGAGTACACGCGCGGCTGGCACAGCGCGTGTGCTAATACTAAACTTGGGCTGTTAATATTTATAAATCTTACGCGCCGGCTCCGCGACGGTTCCGCGTGTTTATTCATGCTCGAACCCGACAACAGCGCGCGCGAACAAGTTCGCGGAAAGTCGCGGCGGGGGAATATCGGCAAGCCCGCGCTGGAGTCGCCGACGCCGAGGCGGCGTCGAGAACGAAACGCACATTTCGCCGGGAGATTTGCAATCGGCTTGTGAAACAAGTTGCAAATGCAACCCTCCTCTCTTCTCCTTGCCTTCCCTCTTCCTCCCCGCGCTGGCCCGCGCGTGTGTGTTGCGATTAGCCTTGCGATATTTCCTCGCGACACCGGGACTATAAGGTGCATGTGAATTATCGCGGGATGCTTCTCTCGCAAAACTCTGTCTCAGATGCTTATTTATATATTTGAAAAGAAAGAAATGATCAGCCGCGAAGATATACTCCAAGCGCGCACATTTGGAAATAGACGGGCGATTCTGGGAAGCTAATGTGTAAAAGGGAGACGATGTTCGATCGTTTGCCGAGAACGAGGACGAAGCGTAATCTCTATGTTTTTAAACTGAAAATGCATCCTTCAGAAGACGCCTTCGGTATCAAAATCTGCGCTCTCTCTCTCTCTCTCTCTCTCTCTCTCTCTTTCTCTCCCTCTCTCTCTCTCTCTCTCTCGCTGGTTGATCCGCGCGCGGATCGACCGCACAATATAACCTGTTGCTAAGTGATTCGAGCATGAATGCAAAATACGTCGTATACAGACACGTTCCGAATGCCCTTCACTTCACTCGAGACGTTTAACACGGGCTGCCCCGTATATTTCGTTTCGCGTTACGATAGATAGTCGAATACATTGATGTAATTAACGAGATTATCCGTCGCGGGCGAACGCGTGTTGTTCGTCGTTTCCACCGCGCCGAGCAGCCGTTCCGTTCGCTCGCTCGTCCGTTCGTTCGTTCGTTCGTTCGTTCGATGTTTCGCTGTACGAATTTATCGTCTCCCGGACTCATCCGGGGAAACACCGGAGGAAACGCAAGTTCACCACGTCGATCCACGTTGCGACGATGCGTCGTTTAGTCATGCTTCGTTACTACACGAAGGGGTTAAGTTAATCGACCATTGTAATTCCGCGCGAGCCGTTTTGTAAACGCGTCGTACACGGAAGCGGGTTTAGCAAAGTGCTGCTGTGTGCTGGTTCAGAGAGGCGGAAAATGAGGACGTGATGTTATTCCCTTTGTGAGATTACATCTTTAATTAAAGTCTCTATAGGACATTGAATCCCGTGACACTTGCACACGAGCGGCAAACGACGACGCGATCATTAACACGTCGATCGTAAAGGTTGCGAGGGACAGACGCGACATGTGTGACACGTTTAGCCAGTGCGACCCGATGCGACGAGAGTCGTCGATACGCGATTTGCTAAACCCGACCGACTTCCGACCGGCGCATCACCTTTGTATTCATTCAAGTCGTTCACCTGATCCGATATCCTGATCCGAGATGAACACGCGCTCTCTCGGCAAAGAATATGCGGATCACGTGACACGAGTCGCAGCAGTTCGCTCGAAGACATATACATTTAGTGTTGTACACGTTAAGTCAGTTAGTTAGTTCGTTAATTCGTTTTATGTGTCGCCGCGCGAGATCGCCTGCGAGATCGGTTCGCCGTGTCTCCGTAATTTACCCGCCAAACGGCGGGTAAACGCGTCGATCGTTGCACTTCTTCTTTATTACTAAACCGCGTCGTCGAGTCGCCGTCGCACTTCCATAATCCGGCGAATACCGGCGAGACCCACGTCTCTCGCATTCGCCTCTCGATGTGCAACGTCGCTTTCGTACACCGCGCGTCTATGATTTCTCTCTTTATTAAGTTTCTGCCGCAATAAAAATATGATTTACACACTTCTGTTTCCGTTGTTCTTATTTGTCTCTTTTCTTCTCACACGGCCGATTTTATATCTCACCTTGTTTGCTTTCACCTCGCACTGACACGTTTGTTAACGTATGTATGTGTGTGTATCTTTGCACCTTAAAAACGCGCGTTTCTCTTATAAGTTTACGCGAGCTCAGTTTCTCGATATGTCGGATATCGGAGAGACGACAAAAGCTGTCGACGATTCCGCCAATTCTAAGATACGATACGTTCCTTACAATACGAATGATAGCGCACTTCAACGTAGCGAACTTGAATGTTATCTAAATGTTAAGTGATTGATGCAATCGTCTTCGTAAAAAGAAAGAAAAAAAAAGCAGATAATCGGTAGCGACCCAACGATTTATCGGAGCCACGAGATAAACAGAACGATAATCGATAATTTACATCTCACTATTCGATCCGTCTACTCGTCTACATTCTGCGGCCGGTCACGGTATATGACATCCCTTCTTTTCAAATTCCTGTAAATACTGTACATTTACTTGTAAAAAAGGGAAAAAGGAAAAACTAAAAGATATATAGTCTAATCGCTTGACCAACACCGCTACGGTGAACAAAGACGATGTAACATAACGTTTCTCTCTCCGTGTAGAATACCGTGCAGAAGACCGGGATTCCCTGTCCGACCAGCATTTTTCGAGTCTTGTAAATATGTAACAGCGCGATAAGTGCGATCGCATCGTGATAAATCGAGATATTCAATTGTCGTGCCAAAAGGAAAAGAAAGAAAAAGGAAAGAAGGAAGGCAAGAACGAAAGAAACGTGCAGTCAAATTGGGTACGCAATCAGCGAACTTAATCGCCTTGCGACGGTGATTATACAGAACGAAATGTTGATGATGAACTCTCTTTTCTCCGAACGTTTCTTAGACCCGTGTGAAACGAAGAAATTAAAATGTGATACGCGCTACCGTTCATTTCGATGCACATCCGTCGAGTTCGCACGTTCGCACAAGCGGCTCGCGAGAGGCGCAGTGAATTGCAGAGACGGAAGGCTTTCATTAATGCAAACAAATACACAATATTCCGTTTCCGACGAAAATTCAAGAGACGTGTCTCCGCGAGAACGGAGAAGAACGAGCGCGCAGCCGCGAAAAACGAAGAAGCTGCAGGGTGTATCAAGAACAATGGACGGTGGTGTTTGTTGCACAGAGTTTCTTCGGCAACTTTGTAATTTCTGTTGTTTACAATATGGCGTCGAGCAAGTACACAAAAATGCCGCGCGCTTTCAATTCGACGTACAACTCGCTTCGGTTCTCAAAGTTCTGTCGGGGATAACGTGAATAACTTACACCGATTCGCGCGACTCCCCTTAAAGACCGCCGCTTATAATAATATCGCGCACCTTACTCGTGTTTTATATTGAAAACTCGCGTACAGCGCGTCGCTGTACGCTCTGCTAATGTACACCTAATGTAAATAAGAGCGAATCGCATCCGAGTGTCTAACTGTCCAGACAAAAATCGATGTTCTCGCTGTTCTGACGATACTTTGTCACTTTGTTCGACCGTGGCGAAAAAAGTCGATTTGGAAACTCTTCGTTCACTCGAGAGGGGCCGATCGCGAAATTGCGACACGCGAAGCTTTCTCTCTTTTTCTCTTTCTCTTTCTCTCTCTCTCTCTCTCTCTCTCTCTCTCTCTCTCTCTCTCTCTCTCTCTCTCTCTCTCTCTCTCTCTCTCTCTCTCTCTCTCTCTCTCTTTGTGCCACTGAAATGCGTTCAATCTTGTTCCAAAGGACCTCGCATTTTTCGAGTCCGTTAAAACCGTACCAAGAGAAAAGACGAAAAAGAAATGCATATACGCCGTATAACGAGTTCGTATTAGTTAATTGCGATTTTTACGTACTGCCTGTATCTTATACGATGGTCTCGATTTAACGATTACGACGATTGTTGTTACGACTGTCGATCGCGATCGCGAGTCGTCTGCGTGCGGAGTAATCACGACGACACTGCCATTGTGGTGCGTTTGGGCCTTTTGATAATTTGCGGTTTATTGCGTCGGTACGACTACGTATACATATGTAATATAAGTAAATAGCACTCGCGTACTCCTAGGTGTAATCATTGTAATTGAACTCGTGTAAATACAGCCACATACTTTTCTTGTAACGGCTAAAAGATTACTGTAATGTTTTTATGAACGAAGAAAATGAATATTTATACCCGTCAACGTGTAAGTCAATAAAGATCACAATAATTCATACTTTCGCACAATTTTGTTGCAGACATTTATAGCTGTGTTCTCGTGATTTCTACACGAGTCGTTGTCTCACACACATACACGTCTAAACGAGAGAAGGATCTCAGAAATTTTTCTAATCTGCAGCGCGATTTGAAATGTACACACGTGAGTGAAAGATCGTATAATCGTATAATCGCGATAATGGCTCGTTACTGTAGATTAAATTTCTAATAACTGGTTCAAGATAATTTGTTGTGCAGGGATACGTTGCAAAAGTTGCGTCACACCTTGTCCTACCTGTATCATGCATTTTATATATAAAACACTTTCGAGTCGTTTTCTACCACATCAAGCTGTACATTCGTTACGAGCAGTGGAATCGGTCCTCACCGCTTATCGAGCGAAGCAAGTGCACCAAATAAGATATCCTCGTCGTAACATCGAACGGTAACTCTCGAGTTACCGGCTAGATTCAACGAAACCTTCGAGGTAAGCTCGCGTATGCTCCACCAGATGCCTTCGCGTATTTTCCCTCGAATCCAGGTACAAGCGAAAATGTTTATATTACGTAACGATATTACGAATCATCTCTTTGCACTCGCCTGGAAAATGATCCAATCGTCCTTGCACGATACATCGTGGTGGTCGTTTCGTGAGAACTAAGTCGACGATTCTTCTTTTCGCTTACGGAAAGCACAAATATCGAAATATCGTATCGCGCATTTAGAACTTACAATCGCTCATCGAGAGATAAGACTGGATCTCCTCTGTCGAAACGATCCTTCACGTCGACGACGTGCTCTCGAGCACTGCTTCGCGTGAAATCCTTGGCACACGTTGGTTGTTTAAGGATTACCGTCGCGACGGCTCTTCATTGTCAAAAGCGCGATACCTTCCCGCGCGACCCAATTCTGATGAAATTGCACGAAAGTCTGCGCGCCCGTCGTGCATTGTGAAATTTCTTCAATCCGAGGGAACAAAAGTGCGATTCGTGGTTTCGCATATAAATACAGATATAATACAGCTTAATTCTCTATATTAATCTTACGATTGCAATATACATACGTACAATCGTTACACAATCTCAAACTTTCTTCGAGACGGTGCAAAATTTAAAAATAACACACTTTCTCTTGACAGTCGCAGTTTCCAACTGAATTATATCTAGTATTTAACTATAAAGAGAAACTATAAAATGTACGTTTGATTCAGTGGGAAAAGAAAATACTTAGTATCGGAACAAAAGCTATGAGAAACAACATTAATGGGAAACACAATATGTGTTCTTCGAAAAGACCCACGAAAAATGTCTGAGAATTTCCGCTCTTTCGATTCATTTCTTTTTCGAGCCGACTTTTTCGGAATTTGAATTTAAAACTAACGAATCTACAAAGCTACGACGTTCTTAAAACGAGAATGCAGAACACTCGCACGACGGCCGAGAGTAGAGAAAGAAAAGGCACTTTTTTGTTCCCCTAGATTGAACAGATTTCGCACAGCCAGGATAGCCCAAGAAACTCATCAGGCGTCCCCTCGTGAGATTTTCCTGCGAGATTTCCTTAAATGTCGCGCGCGGCGACCGACACATTGCCGTGTGGTCTACGTGAAAGTCGCAACGTAGACCACTCCGCGTTGATCATTACGCGACTCGACCAGTTATCGCAATTATATTGTCGTGCCAGTCGACCGGGAGACTCAGGGTTATCGTCTGTTTGCTCCGTGCTCTCTCACGTAGCCGCCGCCCGATACCGTCCCGATATTTTTCTCGCTATCGTCGCCTCGAGTTGACTGGCGAACCTTCGGCAAACACAAAAAAAAAAAACGAAAAAAAAAGCGTCAAGTTCAAACGAAAGGAGAAAAATCATAATCTCACGATAATTTTCGAATCTCTGATAGATAAGAGATATGATTCCCTCCAATTATATATTGGAGGATGTACAAAATTTCACAAAGAATTATATATGTACGTACCATACCATCCCGAAATAATAGCGTCGGCACTACGCGAGACATTAATCACTACCTTCGAAGGAATAAATTCTTAATACACCGCCTGATCTCGCGAATAAGAATCGCCGAAGGACAAGAAGCCGGTCTCTCTCCGAGTTCCACCTAACAGCAGAGCCAAAGTGACAAACTGGCGAGCCGACAGTGTCGCAAATATCAAACGAATCCTCGCGTAAAAAGACGACCGTGGCGAATATGCGACGACGGTGGACGCGCCGCGAAATCCTTTCGGCCTACTTTCACGCTTTCTTATCCGTGACCTATATAAAACATTTCCTTCTCGTCGGCGAACGCGCGACCTGCAAAGGTAGACAAAAAGAGAGCGAGAAAGAGAGGAGAAGGAGAAAGAGAGAGATAGTTTTTCTGGCCATATCGACGCGATATCGCGTATTTAAATTTCTGACCTTTTCGACTTTTATCTATCTAATCTACGTCATCCGACTCATTCGTATCAAAAAGATATAGTCGGTAGTCTCCTCTCTCTCTCTCTCTCTCTCTCTCTCTCTCTCTCTCTCTCTCTCTCTCTCTCTCTCTCTCTTACTTTCGATACGATACCATCGGTCAAGCGGGCCGTCGGCGATTTTTGGCAAGTGCGGTACGAGCAATCGATAAAAATAATCCGTCGCGAGTATCGCGCAAGGACGCGCGTTTTTACATAGCGCGCGCGCACAAGCACAAATACGTTCTCATGCGCACGTGCGAACACGCGAGGCGCCCGATTGCCCATCATTGCGCTTGGATTATGCGCTCTCGCGCAACAGCACTCGGAATAATTA